GTGGAGGAGGGGAGGACGGTGTAGTGGTGCGGAAAATCACTATCACGGTGTCGCCGTGAAATAGACGTCGACAGCTGAGGATGGCTACAGACGCTGACGTGTCCTTCTGTGTCGTCACAGAAACATTGACTCGCAGTGACTTAATCTGCCGCTAGAAGTCATTTCGACAACTCTTGCTACTTCATCAATCATTGAATGCAAGTCAATTTTACTCCTTTTCTTTTCACAGCGAGAAATATGCCCATCACACCAAGCCTCGATTTGTATTACTGCATTGAAAGGGACGTTTTTCATCACCTTCAAAAACTTTTTTTTCTGGCCCAGCATGTAGCCTTTCCAAATCCGACTATGACCGCGGCCTAACGAGGCATCCATCCTTCATTAAAAGTGCCCACCCTTTAGGTATTGGCCTGGAGCGAGGCCGTGTATTAATTGTAATGGGATTCCGGTGTTTCCTGGGCTGCTCCTCGCTCGGGGGACTACCAATCACAACACGTGGCCGCTATTTATCGAGAGCAAAAAGGGAATCGATGCCGTGGATTAGTGGAATCCCGCGGCCGCGAATTGCACTGCCAGCCTAAATGCGCCTTTGTCTCACTGTCACGTTCTCCCACAGGCTTCCTTTGAGCTTCTCTCTGCTTCCACGTGAAAGCAAATATTTTATTGAAAACGCAACACCGCCGTGTTGCCAGGACCATCGTACCTGCCGGCTGACAGGTGGTTTGTTCCGCCCTTTGCACCTCATCATCTTAGTTTCGCTCGTGCGAATCTTTCCCATTGCGTCCTGCTCGTCAAATGGACTGAGCCGACAATACTCGGGGCTCGCGTTTGTCAGTTTTGTCTGCTGTCGTTCTTGTCAAGTTAACCCTGCCCCTACACTCTAAATGTAGGGTGTCCAGAAACTGGGCGCCTTTGTCGCCTGCCCTTTTTAGGGTGCCAAATGTCGCCCAGTTTCTGGGCACCTTGTCGCCTAGTCTCGGGGTGGACAAACATGAAGGAACCTGCCTTCCCCCATGGCCCAGCAGCGACTAAGGTACCAAAGGTGCCCAGAATCTGGGCACCTTAGTCGCCCAGGAACTAGAACCTGTGCATGCTCTACCATGGAGAGGCCGTTTACTGCATGATTAGTCCACCCCGAGATGGGCGACAAAGGTGCCCAGAAACTGGGCGACATTTGGCACCCTGAAAAGTGCGGCAGGCGACAAAGGCGCCCAGTTTCTGGGCACCCCATATTTAGAGTGTATTCATCACACTCCCTCCGCGCGCGGCGCTGTTTCGCCGGCAGTCTGCTTCCTCTCTCTCACTCGCGGGGCGTGCCGTGTGGGTGCGAGAGGGACAGGCGGAATCAGGTGGCAGGCTGTGATGCGCTGCGAGGGGACGCGTGGCCACGAAAAGCGCGCACCGACGAGGAACACGGTCTGCCATTCGAAAGCGCGTGGCAGTTTCGTCACTTTTATCCAACTAATCCGGGAAAAGTTTCCAAATTGGCGGGTGGGCGGACGACGCGCGTTGAATGCGGCGTGTGTGTTTGACGCGGCGTGTCACTGTTGGTTGGTGGCTCCGCGTTGCTCTGCATGGCTCGACATGGCTCCGCGGCTCCACTGTAGGCTCGTCGTTCCCCACGCGCAGAGCTCCTCGCCGAATAACGCCACGCCTACAGTGTGCCGCGGGACCTCGGCCGGCCGTAGCTTTTCAGCAGGTATGCAAATAGCTTCCATTAGGCAGCGGAACAAGCCGCACCACACCGCGCCGCGCACCAAACTCCAGCCGGGGCTTTGAACGAGCATTGACGGTGCGGGGCGCGGCCCGGCCTGGCCCGGCCCGGCGAACCCCTTTCGCCTTTCCCACTGCCCCATCTAGTGTAGTGCAGGGGAGGGAGTTCGTAAGTCGAGTAGTTCGGAAACGCAGATCTGCACGCCGGGCACTGCGCGCTGTCGCCAACGGGCTGCACCGTTCGGAAGGGGGAGGAGAAGAAGGGGGAGAAGAAGAAGGGGGAGAAGAAGAAGGGGGAGAAGAAGAAGACGACGACGACGACGAAGACGATGACGACGATGGTGGTCATGATGGAGATGAACCCGAATTTTCCCATCATGACTGAGTCTTTGAAAAGTCTTCACTTTCCCTAGGGGCGGCGCTTCTAACCCCACTGTGTCGCATTGTTATCCGCAGCGTCGCCTCACAGTGTAGACGGGAGCTTCCCCCGTCAAACGATCGACGCGCACCATTTGCAAGCGAAAGATTTTGTTCCCAGAAATGGCTCGGGCTTGAGTCAGACCGTCCAGACTCCGACTGGTGCAGGCATGAAACAAAAGGGCAACTTGTCCCCGGCAGCCTGGCGGGCGGCGGGCCGGCAGGTGTAAGGGAAAGTTCGAGGCGAGGGCGGCCCAGGGAGGGAAATGCCGCTGTGGGAAAATGAAGGTCGGAGTGAAAAGAGTGAGGCGGGTCGGAGTTTGCTCATCCAGACGGACGGAAAGGAAAGGAAAGGTGGCTCCTTGCGATGGGAGGGAAAGCGGGAGCCCAGTCTAAATTTTTGTGAATCATTTAATTTTTTCCAACCTTTTCTTCTTACCGGCGCTCCTGACGGTTTCTCGGCTGGAGAGAGGAAAACACAGAGCGAAAAGGGGGCATTCTTTCTCATTATGTGTTTAGCTTGCAGCAGTTTGCGTTTTTTTTACCTGGATACCAATAGTTGTGCCTGAAGTCGTCGACATTGAAAATGCCACAGGAATTCGCAGCATGTAATGGATGATTCAAAACAGCAGGGCCGTACTGGAACTGTCTGTGTCGGTTCAGTCCAGACGGTCCGCCGCCACCACTAATTTCCGCAAAAATGTCTCAAAAAACCTGATAAAAAAAGAGTCAGAAAAGGACTCGGTGCAGGTTCGCCTTCTATCTGGGTGAGGGCGTGGCTGATTGATCGCATGGCGGGGCCTCACCGGGGCCGCACAGCGGGGGACAGGACTGTGAACGACGAGCCCCATATGAGGACGCTGTCGAGACGCCGTCGAGACGGCGCCGAGACGCTGCCGCAGACAGGGGGCCGGAATCAAGTCGGGGACAGCTCTATTATGGGCTGCTCGGCGGCCTAATTTAAGGAACTTATCTTGCAACGGCGAAAAAAATAAAAGGGAAACGGACAGGAAGCTCGCGTGAGATCTTAATTTATGATTGTGGGCTGAGCTTATTTTTACCATCTTATTATGTCGTGTGATTCCAAATCTTGAAATATTACGGGACCTGCTGGGATTCGGTGGCGGTGCACACGTCGTACGCGGGTCGATTTTGGGGTCCCGCCGTCAGTGCTGCCAGCTTGGCTGCCAGCTTGGCTGCCAGCTTGGCTGCCAGCTTGGCTGCCTGCCTTCAGCACTGCTTGCCTGACGTGTGTGGGGCAGCGCCCGGCAGCGCCAGTCCCGGATGCAGCCTGTCAGCAGGTGGACTCCGAACAGCGCTTTCGTCGCGCTGTCTCTCTCGCACCCTCGCCCTTCACGGGACGCTCCACGAGTGCGAGGGAGACACGAAAGCACCCTGCGACTGCATAACATCGACCGGGCTGTTTCGCAACGGACGAGCACGTGTCGGGCCAACGCGCCAACGCCCTGCGGATTTGGATCAGGCGGGTCATTTCCGACCGCGTAATGAGGGAAGGGCAGCCCCGGATGGATTTTGGGGCTGGTGATGATGATGGTGAAGGTGATGCTGATAATGACGATGATGATGGTGAAGGTGATGACGATGATGATGATGATTTGATTACCCTTTTAGATTCACCTCGATGATAAACTTTAGATGATAATGACGAACCTTCCATCCTCACCTCCATGACACACACATTTGTCAGGCCGTGTCAGAGCCTCGTGCAGCTCGGTCGGCGACTAATCCGACAATGAGCTGCTCCCCCTTCCCCTCACCAGCCGCCCGACGCGGCGAAGCCTCAAAGCAAGGCCAGATCGCTCCGAGGCGCTGGTGCGAGGGAGCCTCCGATCCCCAGCAACGTTTTAAAAGGTCGTTAACGGACGATCCACAGCCCGGTGACAGCGGAGGCATCAGGTGGTGGCGCTGCGTCGGCCGGACCGATACGGTGGGACGATCCAGTCCACACTGACAAGCACCCTGGCCACACCGGAAAATTCCCAGCAGACACGACTTTTTCTCACAGTGCTGTTCGGCTGGGCTGGGCACTGCGATGTACGTCGCGACGTGCCGAAGGCTGACACGCCGTTTGCGCTCCTCCTGTCTGTCGGCCGGCCCTATGTCGGTTGGCGTGTTGTTTGCGCAGTATTTCCATGCGGCCATGAATGCCGCGGCCGCAGCGCCACAGCAGCTGGCGACGATTCGACATGCGCATCTGCATGTGGAGCGATGTGGAGCGGCAGGGCCGGCGGCAGGGCCGGCGTGCCGTCGAGCCACCGAGGTGCCAAGTCGGACACGAGTCGGCCCGCCGAATGCATGTGCTGGGGTTGTCAGTGGCGACACAGCCAGAGGACACTGAGGAAAATTTTACGCCCCCTTCGAGCGTGCAGGTGGCTGCTAGGCTTGGCGTGGAGTCGAACTTCGAGCAGGGGAGGTTTGGAACCGCTCCATTTCGGAAGAAGCAACTTGTATTTTGGCTGCATTTTTGGCGTGCGCAGGGTCGCTTCTGCCGCCATCCACTTCATTCTCCTCCTTTTCTTTTGTCGGGTTTCCACCGTCCTGCGACCCTTCCCGGGCCTCCGCGCCCCGCCCGCCCCGCGCTCCGCCCTCCGGGCCGACGCATCCCACACGCGCGAGCTTCATCATTTTTCTCTCGGAGGGAAACAACGTTGAATCGGAATTTTGGAAGGTCGCCCTTCCTTCGCCAGCAAGATTGCCACGACATTCCTCTAGCAGTGGCGGCCCTGGTGGCCCTGCCCGGCCCGGCCCGGCCTGGCCCCGGGTCGCCAGGAATGGATTCCGCGATGACCCATCACACAGAGCTCCCATCCTATCTCCGTTGGTGAAATTGCTCTCTGTTTGCAGTGCCCATGGTGAACGTGGAGGCCGTGCTGGGCCACCGCGCCACGCTGCCCTGCGACATCTCGGCCAACCGGACGGACGACCGCGTGCAGATGGTCATGTGGTTCCAGGTCTCGGCCAGCAAGCCACTCTTCACGTAAGTACTTCCGTAGTGTGCACGGAGCGCGCCAAACCGCCAAACGGTGTCCGTGCCGGGCAAAGACGCTTCCGGCAGGGTCCAAGCGATGTCACTTAACAAACGTGCCAACAAAACCACAAGTGGGTAGGATGCTGCTATGTTCGTTTTGGCGCGAAAGGACTTTGAATCATTTGTTTGGTCATGTGAGTTGGCTAGGTCACGTCACTGCGCACAACGGCCCGGAACCAGCGGTGCACGTTTGTACGAATTCGCGCCGCTTCTCCCCTTTATTTTACTATCGGATTTGGCGTCAACTTTCCACATCCATGCATTATTCTCCCCCGGAATTGGGGCTCCGGTTCGCCACCCCACTCGCAAACGAGCCCCGCTACCACTGCCCCGCCCGGGCCCACCATGGTCCCACCACGGTCCCACCACGGTCCCACCGCCACGTGCGCCGACATTGAAAAGAAGTCCTGTATTCCACCATCGTGAGCAATGTCCAAGTTGACGCGGTGTGCGCTGATTAAAAAAAAATTTTTAAAAAATGAAACTTTACTTTGACATCACGTTGGTAAATGCTTCCCCATGGGATGCAATTTGTTCATGGTGCAGCCGTAACCCGTTCGTTATACGGGGCATTTCTTGTTGAAGCTAAGCCCGCCTTTTTAGTCGGCCCCTCTCCCTCCCACCAGTGGCGTGGCGGGGCCGCAGCTGCTGGCGCTGCAGTCCGCTGGGGGCGCTCCGTCTATTGCCGCCTGATTTGCACGCCACTTTGTCATCCGTGTCGTCCCCCGCGAGTCGGACTGCGACAGAGTGACAGACTGCCCGACCAATTCATTGGCTTGCCTTCGGTGTCTTTTCAGCTCCTGTTTTGCGGGCAGCAGCCCGACAGTCGATACTGGGACACGGTGGCACAGCCAGGCGAAATACACCAGTCCAACCGCTGTAAGGCACTCGACGTCGTCAGATAGGACCACAAGTAGAAGAGGCATCTGTGAAGAACGACCGAGTGAAACATGGTGCTCGCTGGAAGTGTCTGTGAATAGATGGCGTCAAAGTAGGACTCGACGGACATGTGGCGAGTAGCTTCCGTCCACCGGGGCCTCCCTGCCCACGCCGTGCGAGGTTGCGCCACGAGAGGGCCGCTGGGAGTCGGCGGCGGTTAATCTCTCGGGAATCAAATCTGGTCGCCATGAAATTTTCAGTCCTGACTAATTTCCGGGCCGAGCGGAGTGCGCGGGAATCACCTCCAGTCCGCCGCACCTGCAACCCCTCCCCCCTTCCCTCCCCTCCCCCTGTCTGGCTGCCTCGCGAGAAACTCGCAGTCGTCTTTTCAAAGCGAACGTCAGTCCCGGATCAGCCGACACGCCGGGCAAACTGTCTGGAAGTGTTATAATCATTTCGCACTGCTTCTGCCCCTTCTTCTCCGCCCTCTGCCTCTCCCCCTTCCAGGACAATTCTTTCTCATCGCGTCACCCACCTTGGCGGCCTGCGCGAGCCGAGGCCCGCAAACAACGACCAAGACGGCCTGCCGGTGACACCCCCCTCCATCGCTTTCCATACAGCCTCTGAGATGGCTCCGTGAAGTGGATGCTCCGTCTTTGTCTCTCGCACGGAGAGTGCCCGTCCGCAATGAAGGCGCCAGGTAGTGCAATAAGCGGTCGAGGACACCCCAAAAACGCACACGCGAAACCGTGCTTTCCTTGAAAGCTTCCTCCCACTTTCGCCAGAACCAACTCGGTCGGTATGCCTTTGAGTGTGCGCTCCAAACACACGCGCCGACTCTGCTGTCCCCAGAACCGGACGCACCACAAGCCACACTGCAATTCTGCCGCTGCACGGCACTGGGCTTTCACTTTGTCATCAGTGTTCGAAGCAGACTCCCGGAAAGACCATTCAAAATGTTGTGGCGTGTGCGGCAGAGTGCCAGCGATACCGAATGACATCGCCATGGACACGGGCAGGCCGCCCGGCCCGACCCGGCTTTCACGTTTGTGGGTCACCGCCGTCACGATTCGCGGAACATTCGGTTCAGGGTGTCCGGATGGCGATTTGAGTGGGGCGGAGAACAAGGCCAGGAATAAATGTATGAAAGATGTATGAAATACAGGTAAACCACGCGGGCCGCCGCCGCCCCCTCCCCTTATTCTCAACCGAACGGGCGGCACGCATAGCAAAGAGAGAAGTGAACATTGACTGGCCGGGTGTAATTTTATTGTAACCAGAATGGACTGTTGTTATTTATTTTTGAAAGTATAAATACCGAATGGAATAATTTAGCTTGGCGGTTTAGTAGCGCGCGACGTCCAGGCTTTTTAGTCCCATCCTTTGTTCCCCGAAAGGTGAGTCTTTTCCCTTTTTTCCCTTTTTCGCGAGGTGGGCTGGCCGAGAGGCCCGGAGGGCGGCCGGCGCTTCGGTACATGCCCTTACCGACCCGGCCTGCCCGGCCTGCCCCGGCCTCTTTCTTTCCGTTCCGACCGAGATAATTTATTATTCGTTAGCGCGGGAGTGTCGGGGGCATATTTATCTTGATTTCTAATAATGTGAATAATGCTCATAATTTTCCTCCTCCACACGCAAAGACGCAATGAATTTCGCCGGCCCACGATTTATACACCCCTCGGCCGCACCCCAGGGCCGGCCGGGCGCCCCGTCTCATCTCTTGATTCCGACTCGATCGTCCGGCGCAACCAAAGTCACGGGGCGTAAGGTGTTCCAGTGACACGGCTCCAGCTCGAGGCCCACACTATTTTACCCTGTTTTGCCGCCTCGAATGTTCACCGTCGTAAGCTGAACGCAGGCAAAAAGTACCCTGTTGTTATTTTGGGTCTAAAGACCGAAACTTTGCTAATGGAGTCACGACTGACTGGCAAAAAAATCTACAAAACAAACTTTAAAAATTTTTCTTTATTTTTTTTTCAAGTTTTTAAAACACGCCTGCGTTACACACGCTTACAAAAGTTATTCATTTTGACCAGACGACCGGAACTCTGTTAATGAAGTCACGAAACACCACTGGAAGAAAAAAAGGCGTGGTTGGCTCCATTAAATATGCTTTTCTAAAAAAAAATATTTTTTGCTGGTTTCGCACCGGTGCAGAACGGCCGTGGAATCAAATTGAATGACATCGCGGATGAAGTTATTCGCGGCCGACGGGTCGATGCGTTCTTGAAACCAATTGATGTGACAACAGCTCATTGCCGTAAATTTGGTTCCCGAAATAACCAACAGCAGGGCCGGGCCGGCTGCGCTGGGGGGATCCCTATCTCCGGACTGTCAAACGAAGCCCGCGAACCGAAGCGAGGCAAAGCAAAGCGTAGCGAGGCGCCGCCATCAAACTTTGAATCGAATCGGTTGGCGGCGGCCCGGCCGGCCGGTGCGAGGTGTCGGCTCGCCGCTTTGTCCCTCTCGCACACCACGGGCCGGCCCACGGGTGCGAGGGAGACAGAGCGACGAGGCGCACCTCATCGAATTGGAGCCGACGCGTCCAAATAGGCCGCGGCGCGTAATTGGAGCCGCACACAAAAATACATAAATTTGCGCCGCGCCGGCGCTTATTTTATATATGCTTATTTATGTTGTGGTTCGGCTTTGCGCGAGCAAGGGGAGGGGGAGGGGGATGTGGGCCGCGGGGTGGGTCAAGTCGCGGTATGTGAGGTAGGGCTGCGCGCCGGCCCCAGCTAGGTGGCAGCACACTGATTCCGCTGGCGCGCTCTCTCGCACTCGTGGGGCGCTCCCTATGGGTGCGAGAGAGACAGGCGACGGGACGCTCAGCCTGCTGGCGGGCCGGCCCAGGAGATGCTTATCACCCCGTGATGGATACATCGCGGTGCGCCAGGGCGGCGGGGCTGCCTGGCCGCTAGGGCGGTAGGGCCCCACGGACGTTCGTTCACCTGCCCTTCCCTTGTTGAGTGTGACGGCCTTTTTTTCCTTCCCTGTCGATGCGAGCGGCTCGCTGTTGGCCACCAAGCCGCTATCTCCGCGCCCGAACCTCATGAAATTATCATAGATGTGGCAAGGCTCATGAGAGTCTTCCCTGCTGCTTCTTCAAACGTTTGTGTTAAAAGGGATGTGAAAAATGAACTCGCGAAGCGTTTCCCACCATCTCCCAGTGTTCAGGGTGGCATCCTTGTGGTCCGACTCTTCCGTGTCCTTTTTCCGGCATGCTTTTCGGCCCCTTCCTGCGCGGTACCATTTTTCCGGTATGATCTGTTCGTCGTACGCCTTGCAGCCCCCAGGCGGGAATCTTGATAGCGGGCGATATGGTCTGGTCTCGTAGCACACGTACACACACAGACACACACCCACAGACACACAGACGCACAAGCGCACACACACACAGGCACGCACACAGACTCACCGTGAGTTCAGTATATACGTCCTCATACTTCAGCCTATACATACAGGACCATTGTTGTGTGGCGTATCGCCTCCTCTGTGTGTCGGCCCCACCCCGCCCCGCCCCGCCCCACCCCTGTTCCACCCCCTCGGTGAGAATCGTTCTCCCTGTGGCTTCACCACCTCCCGCGAGGACGCCATCGCCTTCTGTATTCACTCGCCATCTACCTGTCCGTCATATTTCGCGCTGGAATGGATGCAGCACCCTCGTGGCGACTCTTTGCCTTCGCCTGTTCCGTTCGCCGACCCGTCCACCTTTAAAAGCTGCATGCCTCCGTGGGCAAGGACCTTGTCTAGTGCAGCCCGTCCACCTGTCCGAAGGAAAATGGGAGGGGTGCCGGAGAGCTGTCCACGAGTATTGTCAAAGGACGATGTGCTTTTTTGGAGTTGGATGGCAGGTGGACTTCATTCATAACAATGCTTTAGAATCAACATTTTTCCTGCCCACAATGTACATGGCAATCGGGGAGCCCCAACCATCACCCCTGACGTCTAACTCTAGTAAACGCCCACAAGGCCCCTAAAAACATTATCCGCCCAAGACGTGATGAATAAATTGCCCTGAATATTGCCGAAACGTCCGAGTCATAACTTTCCTCCGCGCGGCGGGCCAAGTT